AGGGCTTAGGCAACATTCGAGGCCTGATCTGAATGAAGGGAGCAAGCCATGGAAATATTCTGTAGAAAGAACATTCTGGTCAGGGGGCAGAGAGGGCAGTAAGTGCAAAGGCCCTGAGGCAGCAATGGGCTTGGTGTGACTATAGCTGAGTGGGAGAAGGAAGGAGAGAGGTCAGCAGGGTGTTGGAGAGCCAGACTATGTAGGACCTCAAAGCCTAGGGTGAGGACACTTGTTGGCACAACAGAGAAGCTGGTGGCACTAGCCAATCTCACACCGGGGAACACCAGCTCATGTGTCATCTTTGTAAATGCCACCATAGGTGTCAAGCCTGGTGCATTTGAGAGGCAGAACCTAGCAGATCTGGGACATTCAAGACCTCAAGGGATCAAGGAACAAGAGGCTTGGGAGGCCCTGGTGCCCCTGAGGTGGCCCTAAGGAGCTTACCTGCCCGTTCCAGCAGGTGGAATTAACAGAGATGCTCTTGGGAGATGCCTGCATCAAATTCCAATGAATCTCAAAGTTGCTCAGATAGAGTGACATGAGTAAGGATAAGAAAGGTAGATAATACCAAGTGTTAGTGAGGATAAGGGGAGACGGAAACTCTTATTCACTGCTAGTGGAAGTAGAAACTGGCCCAGTCACCCTGGAAAGCAATCTGTCAATACTCGGTATGTGCCCTTTGACCCAGAGATCCCAGAGAAATCCTTCCATACGTCCAAAAAGGGAGCACAGATGAGGCTCTTCGTGGTGGTGGTATCTGTGGACGCAGGGAGGTAGAGGCAGGAACAAATAAGTACCATATAACAGATGCCCCCAAGCCATACCACATCAGCAGCAGAGATTTTGGTTCACAGACAGCCACGTGGACAGAGCCTTTAAAACAACACTGAGTGAAAAAAAGAAAAGCAACTGAGTGAGATTCATAATACAATGCAATCTTTTCAGTTCACAACACATTCACAAAAAAAAAAAAAGAAACACGTTCACAATCAAACATCACCATGTGTTTTACAATGATACGTGCGTATTCAGGACGTGTATCAAAGACCTCAGATGGGTGTGCCCATGGAGGGGAGGAGACTAGAGCAGGATCAGAGACAGGGTGAGGGATGACACAGCAGGAGGATCAGAAATGCGAGCTTTCAGCAAGGGACAGACACTTTGCTAAGCACTCACTCAAGAGAGCCGTGTCATTATCATCCCCATTTAATGGATAAGAAAACCAAGACCCAGAGAAGTGGCTTATGCAAGGGTCCCCCAGCTTGCAGAGACAGAGCAGGAGTTCCAGAAGGGATGTGATGTAGCACCAACTTTCACCACCAAGCCAGACAGACCTGGGTGAGGACACTCACTCTGCTAAGTCCTGATGGTGGGAACTTGGGCCAATAGCGTCTTCTTGCTGAGCCTCGGTTTCACCACGTGGGAGATGAGGGAGCTGGGGGCTCTGATGCCTTCTGCTGGGGGCGTGGCGAGAACAATGGGAGCAAATGCCATGGAGCCCTGTGCCTGGTACCTGGCCCATCCATCCTAGGTAGCAATACCTTAGGTCTGAATCCAGGCGCTCCCTGCAGTCAGGCTGAGTGGGAGGTAAGGGTCTGGCGTGGGAGGAAGCTCCTAAGCTCCTCTGGGCTGGGCTGCCTGGGGCTTGCTGTTTTCTCCATGTCTTCTCATTCTGGCCCTCTGCTTGGCCCTGGCTGCCTCTTCCTCCTCCCCCTCTTTGCTGCCCCCTTCCCAGCAAAGACAGGCATTGCTTCGGCACTCGGACCCTGGACTCCTGGAACAAGCTGTGTCTGGCGACTCTGCTGGACACCGAGGTGTCCAACCCCATGGAATACGAGTTCAACTTCCAGCTGGAGATCCGTGGGCCGTGCCTGCTTGCAGGTGAGAGGGGGCCGCTCAGACCAGGATGGGGCTGGAAAGAAGATGTGAGGCCCCAGGGTTGGGAGAAGAAGGGGAGGACAGGGAAGCCGGCCGGCCCAGAAGGAAGATGATCTTAAGCTCAGGGAGCTTATGGACCCCCATTTCCCACTCCCCATCATGCAGCCCAAGTTGAGCCCCTCCCAAGGACAGGTTTCAAGGCTGTCCCCACCTCTATCTCAACGGCTTCCTTGGTGAAATGTCTGTGGGGGCGTGACAGTCTTCTGTTCTCTCCAAGAGGCCATAAAATTGCTTCCTGGTCCTTCCCTTGCATAGTAGAATCACCTGGGGAGCTTCCAAGTCCTGCCACCTAGATCCCACCCCAGAGCTTCTGATGACATTGGTCTGGGGTACGTCCCAGGCAGTGGAACATTAGACGCTCCCAGGTGATTCTAATGTACAGCCAGAGTCAGGAACCATGGTTCTGATGGCTCCCCTCTACCACCCAGCCAAGGTTTTAAAAGGACACTAGGGTGTGGTTTCTTGTCAGTGAGTTACACGACCTTCCAACACAAGAGACACTTACGAGTGCTCACTGATAGAGCGTGGAGCTCTTTCTATCCTTCTGTGCCCTATGAGGAAGCTTTGACCCCCCACTGGATCCTGAGATCAGGGCAGGAAAGACCATTAGACCCCCCCTCCCACATCTAAGCCTCCAATTTGCAGATGAGGAAATTGAGGAGACCTGTCCATGGTTACACAGCAGGTCAGGAGCCCCTGATGGAGCTGGAGTGCTAGCCATCTCTGGCCTGGGTCCCAGGGTCCCCCACGAGCCCCTGTTTCTCCAGGGCCTGCTGAGCCTACCCCACCTTTCTGTGCCACTCAGGGGTGGAGAGTCCCACCCACGAGATCCGAGCCGACGCCGCCCCATCCGCTCGCTCAGCCAAGAGCATCATTATCACCTTGGCCAACAGGCACACCTTCGACCGGCCTGTGGAGATCCTCATCCACCCCAGTGGTACTGTGTGATGGGCGGGGCCCCCGGGTTGCCTGTGGGAGGGAGAAGGTGCTGAGCCCGTGGGGCACAGACAAGGGGCCCCTCGCCCAGCAGCCAGTGAGAGGGTGGGGGTACATGGCAGAGGGGAGGAGGCCCACTGCTTGCCTCTTGGGAAACTTATCTCTAAATGACAAAACTGAGTGTCTCCTGCCCCAATTCTAGCTACTGAGGCTGCGGGGTCTCATCTACCCAGTGGTGCACTTGGCCCTTAGGCCAGCTGAACAGAAGATCTTTGAAACCCTAAGCTCAATGAGACCCTGGCAGCTCTGAAACTTCAAGGAGCAACTCTTTTGTCTTTTTAAGAATTCATAGAGGGAGGGTATATCTCAGTGGGAGTGTGTGTGCTTAGCATGCATGGGGTCCTGGGTTCAATCCCCAGTATCTCTGTAATAAATAAATAGATAAACCTAATTACCTCCCCTTACCCCCCCAAAAAAACCAACAACTAAAACTTTTTAAACATCTAAAATAAAAATAAAAGAATTCATAGAATAGCAACATGCAAAACGATCAGAAAGCCCAGAACCACTCCCATTTTACAGCTAGGTAAATTGAGGCCCAGGGAGGTACAGTGAATCACAGCCACTAAGCTCGCCTGCCTTCCAGCTAAATAGACTTCTCATGGCCCCACACTCCTTCAAGCAGCCAGGGATTCCATCCTCCTCTTCCACCTGGGAGTCCTCCCCACTGTGAAAACTGCCCCTCAACCGAGGACAAGTGCCAAGAGTTGATCTCGTCTCTGCAGAGCCCCACATGCCACATGTTTTGATGGAGAAAGGGGACATGACCCTGGGCGAGTTTGACCAGCACTTGAAGGGAAGAACGGACTTCATTAAAGGGATGAAGAAGGGCAGCAGTGCAGAGCGAAAGGTGAGGGTGACAAGCAGATCAGTGGTGGTGGAACTGGGGTGGCCTTGGGGGCCTGGTCTTCCCTGGACCAATGAGGAGACTGAGCCTGAGGTGGGGGAGGGGTGACTTCCCGAGGTCTCACAGCAAGCTGGTGGCAGACCCTTGTCGAGGTTTCCTCAAGGGGCTGGGGCGCCGCGGGGCAGAGGGAAAGTGGACTTCCAGCTGCACAAGTCACCCTGGCACTTTTCTCCCACTTCCTGCCAGGTCACCTTCTCCTCGTGCCCCCAGTGTTCCTAAAGCAGGCAAAATTCTAGGCTGGTGGCAGAAACACCCTGGGTCTTCTCCAGGCTCATCCACCCCTAAGAGGTCCCCAGGAGCCTAGAGCCAAGGGCCTAGCCCTCCCCTCTCAGCTCCATCTCTACTCCTGAGCTTCCCTCTCCCCACCTGCCAAATGGGTCTCTTGCCCTCCTTCCTCTGGGATCTTTGCTTGCTATTATGTAAAGAAAAAAGGCAGAGCCGGGAAAGCTCCTTCCCCTCTGCCCGCTCCACTCCTCCCCACAACCCCGAATTTAAAGGCTAAGGAGACCATAAGCAGGAGGCTGGGGGCGGGGAAGTGGGTAGGAGGACGCTGAGCCCCGGCCGGCCGCAAGCTGGCCCCGCAGTCTCTCTCCTGCTCATGGCCCTGTGCACCGAGCTGAGGGCCAAGGCACACTTGAGCATCATGACACATTTCGTTTTATTGTCTCCCCTTTTAGATGGGAAAACTGAAGTTTAGCACCCAAAATAACTGGTGATCTGGGGAAAGAGGACGACTGTTCTCTGGGAGTTGGCTTTGATGACAAGGCTAAGCTCATGTGGGACAGTTGTGCCGGATTTAAGAGGCTCTCCTGTTCCTGTTGGCCTGACTGGCAGAGGACTGGCGGCACAGGGGGAGCAGACAGGAATGTGTAGATGGCTTACAGCTGACATCATCCCCATTGGTAGAGATCCCACTGGAAGCACCTGCTTGGTGGAGGGTCAGGGAGATGGCAAAGAGGAGGTGTAGGTGGCCCAATTTCCATCGTATCATCCCCTCATTAGAGACCCCACTGGAAACACCTTCCCTCCCAGAGGTGCCCCCTCACCCACCCAGACGAGTCAGCTGGGAGAAGAGGCTGGAGCCAGGTTCTCATAGTGGGGGGTGGCAATGCCAGGGGTACCACTGAGCTCTGAGAACTGCAGCATGTGGGCGAGGGGGGTCAGCAATGAGCCTCCCAGGCCTGCCTGCCAAGCCTTAAATCAATTAGCTCTGGGACCGCTGAAGCAAATGAGAATTAATTTGCCACCTTGGGTTGGTTATGCAAATAGCCGGTATTCTCATGAGCCCCAGGGATGACAGCCATCAGCACGCTGCTGCTAAGAAGTGATGAGTTTATTGTAATTAGATAATGGCAGCTTGAGGAGACATCAGAAAAATCCTCAGCCAGGCGCCCCACCCCGCCCCTCAGAAAGGCAAAAATCAGGCTCCTGTCACTGCCAGATGTGGCCATTTCTGCCCTGGGCTCTGTCATCAAGACAGCCAGATTGGGCAATGGCTTTTGGCAAAGGAATTCCTTGTGGGAGGGAGGGCACAATCACCAGGGAGAGAGGCAGGCATCCAGAAGGCCCAGATATCAATCAGGAAGAGTCGGTGGGATGAGCTGCCAAAACCTGTGATTTAGCAAAGAGGGGGCAAATGACACGGAGGGAGACACCATTACAAGAGATGGAGATGCAGAGAGAAGCAGAGACAAAGAGACTGAAAAAAAAAAGTGATGTGCACACAGGTCAGCAGCAGACAAAGAGACCCACACAGATTCATTCTCTCATTTATTCATTCAACAAACACTAAGTGCCCAATAGGGCTCTGGTCTAGGCACTGGGGAGACAAGGCTGAAAACGACACATCCTCTCCTCCTGGAGCTTACATTCTAGCACTGGGAAACAGATGAGAAAGAAACACATGAGCAAGATCAGTTTGGAGAGGGCTGGGGACGTGAAAGACATGAAACAGGATGACAAGATACTGAGTGATCAGCATGGGGTGCCGGTTAGCCAGGTTTTTAGAGAGAGCCTGTCCAGGAACGTGAGCTGGCAGGCTGTCAAGCACTGGAAGAACGTGCATAGAACAGGAGGCACAATAATGGTGACATGTATGGAAAAAAGAGAGGTGCCCAGTATGGCTGAAATATAGAGCAAACATGAGATGGACAGGTAGGCAGGAGTCAGGCCATAGAGGGCTTCATAAGCCCTGCTGCAAGGTATAGGGGGAAACTATTGCTTAAGCAAAGGAATAACCAGAATGATCACACTGCCTGCTCGCAGTAGAATGGACATGGGGAGATAAAAGTAGAGGAAAGGGGCCAGTAAGAGGCTGTTGCAAAGGTCCAGGCAAGAGATGCTATATAGTCTTGAACTTGGGTTATTGCAGTGGGGACAGAGAGAAGAGGACAAGTTCAGGATATCTTAGCTGCAGAACCTGCAGTCTCGGCTGAAGGAGCAGATGTGTGGGGTGAGGAAAAGACAGGAGTCAAGGACAAGTCCCAGGTCTTTAGTGTGAACACCTGGGCAGGTGATGATGTCATCCATTGAACTGGAGGAGGGACCCGCATAGACAGAAACGGAAAAACAAAGAGAGACACGTACATGCAGGGACCATCAGATAAAGAGACAGAGACAGTCGGGTTGGAGAGATTGGGCGGCAGAGTGAGGACGGAGGAAATGAGATTTGGTGCCGAGTGACCGGGAGACTCAAGGACAGTTCAGGCAGCCACGTGACAGGGCCAGCTAAGAGAATACATGAGAAGACAGAGGACCATGGTGCGTCCTCCCTTTAATGTTTCCTGAGCCCATGTTTGTACCAGGCTCTATGTTAAGCCCTGGAGGTGCAAGAGACTCAAGCACGACCGGCCTTCAAGCAGCACACGAGCTAGAGGGGAGACAGAGGTGTGGGCAAAAGCTGGCAGTGAGAGAAGAGCCTGGGATCCCACGGCAAATAGCAGCAGCAAGAGCAATGATGGCTGCAGTTTAGACCCAATTACTCTGCTGGCCAGCGGGCCTCACAAGCATTGTGTTTGGTCCATACAACTTGGTGACGTAGGTACTCTTGTCCTCACCCCAGGGATGAGGAAACTAGATAATTAAGCCCACCGGGAAGATGGGGGCAGGTTTTCCAAAGAGGTAAAATTTGAAGAATGAGTAGGAAGTTATCATTGGGGAGAGAATCAGTAAACTAGGGAAACCCCAAGTTCACGGCTAAGATGAGCCGGAGAGTGGCTTATGCACTGGGTGTGAAAGGGAAAGAAATCAGTATCCAACACAAGGTCTGCATGGGTGCCAGCGCCTTCCCATTTGTGTGCCAGCTCAGTTCATCCCCAGAACCTCCTGAGAAGTGGATATTATTTGCCCCATTTTACAAATAAGAAACCAACCCAGAGGAGAGTCTTGCCCAAGATCACACAGCTGGACGGTGAAAGAGCCGGGATTCAAACCCAGTTCTTTCTGCCTCCAAAGTCCACGTTGCTGCTGCAACCTGTGAATGCCTAGCAGAGGAGCCAGGTACGGCCAGCCTAGAAGTCTTTCACACAGAGGATGAGTGGGATCCTGACAAAACATAGTGAGTCATGGGGGACCATCCCCAAGCAGTAGCTCTGGACCCCTTGAATGCCCGAGTGAGAATCTTCCTTTCTTCTCCAGACAGAAATCATCCGGAAACGTCTCCACAAGGACATCCCCCACCATTCCGTCATCATGCTCAACTTCTGTCCTGACCTCCAGTCAGTCCAGCCGAACTTGAGAAAGACCCATGGGGAGTTTATCTTTCTCATCGACAGGAGTGGCAGCATGAATGGGACCAACATCCACAAGGTCAAGGTACCTCTAAGAGGACCCCTTGCCCCAGGATCTAGGGCTTCAGGGTAACCAGCTTCTCAGCACTTTCTGTTGCAAGCATACCTGAATCACCACCTCAAATGACTCTCCATGGCTTAGAGAAATGACAAACAACATTTTTTATATCAATTTAAACAAAGATCCCCCAAACTCACTTGCTCCCAGAATAAACCCCTGAAGTGATATGAGCAGAGGTTAACCGTTGCCTGTTTATAAGGGATGAAGTCATCAGTAGCTTCCCTTGGTGTTCTGCACGCCTTTGTTGCACGCCTGATCTGGCTAAAACCCCTCACTAGGTACTAAATGGAGAGGGATACAGAGAAGAGAGGAAGGACGCTAACATTTGCCGAGGGCCTGCTATGGGTCAGACACTGTGCAGCCACTTAATGCACAGCTTGGTGTTTAATCCAGACAGTAATCCTATGAGTTCAGTCCTGTTGTCACTATTTTCCAAATGGGAAAACTCATCCTGAGAGTTTCAGCAATACATCCAAGTTCACACAGCTAGTGTGGTCTAAAATTAAACCCATAAATTAAACTCTGTCTGATTGTTTCTACCACATGACATCAAACAGTCACTGGACACGACCTCTGCCATCAAGGAATGTGTGGAATCCAGTAGAAATGATTTGGCTCATCCTTTCTTTTTTTTTTTTTTCTTTCAAATGCCTAATATGTGCAAAACCCTGTGCTTGGCCATCTGGAAGTAAAACAGGTTGTAAACATAGTTCCTGCCCTCAAGGAGCCCACAGTCAAGTGAGGGGGGCAGCCCTTTTAGCCAAGCATGCCTAGGAGCATGGTCTTGATGCTATGGAGAGTTCTGAAAGAGTGTAGAAGAAAGAGTGATAAAACCTTCCCCCACACCTCCAGAAGCTTTCCTTCTCCCTTGGGAGATTATTTGCCTCAATAATGGCATTATCCAACCCTCTCTTTTATTTTTAGTTATGCAGATGTCCATCTCTTCCTCTGGAATTATACACTCTTTAAGGGAAAGGACTAGATCTTTCTATCTTTCCCCATGGGGCCTAGCTCTGTGTTTATGCATAAAAAGCCCCCAGTCGCTGTTTATTGAACTGGGTAGAGGATTATAGTTCATGAGGGAACAAGGAGGGAGAGGGCTGGCTCTGCTGTCACCTGAAATTTTATCTCTCCCCCTAGCTTGTCCCTGGAGCAAACTTGTTTCCAGGGCAACAGGATCAGCAAGGAGGGAAGGAGCTAGGTGGGATCTGTGATGCTAGCTGTCTCCTCGGCCTTGCTGTGCTAGGTTTGGTCTTGAAGTATGACAGAGTAGTCACATATGAGACCCGAGTTCCTCTTTGATGCCTTCTGACACTGGGATGCAGGACTGGGACTTTTCCCCACCCCTGCCCACTACCGAAGGCAAGCATAGGAATGAGGAGCTGTCCAGGTGCTGGAGTGCTGACGCACGCTCCAAGCCACTGGGACCACGTGTATTCCATTCCATATCCTTACCGATTTGTAAGACATCTCTCCAGTTACTCTAAGGTATCACGAGACCATAAACCTAAAACATCCCTTAGAGAGCATTTAATCCATTTCCCCTACCAATTTCCAGATAAGGAATCTGAGTCCCCAAGAGGCTAAGTGTTCTTCCCCACATCACAGAGCTTGTGCAAGAACATAAGCCTTCTGTATCTTGATTCAGTGCTCATTTCCCTTACATTGCTGATAGGGATTTAAGCCCACTCTTCCACTGAGAAAAGCTCTCCTCTCTTATTTGCATTCCTGCTGCATGTCTCTGTGGGAAGAGCAATGCCTGGGTCACAGGATCGATTCTGCCACTGACTCGCTATGTGGCTTTGGACAAGTTGATTGTCAATTCTGGGCTTCATTTATCCTTCCTGTAAAGTGAGAAGGAAGGACTAATTCAGGGAGGGCAAACATATGTCACACATCCCTCTGTTCCCCTTCCCCGAGCCCAGACAGACATCAATAATTGTTCACGACAGTATTTTTCATGCTGGCCTGGGCTCAGTCTCTATATCTTTCTCACTGTGGTGCTCCAGGAAGTTACTATCAGTTAAGTGGAGTTGGTTTATGAGTGGAATTCCAGTTCCTGAACTGAAGACCTTTCCAACCTCTTCATTCCAGAATTGTCTGACAATAACTTTTTCTGGCTCATGTCGGAGCCCCTTTCCCCTTGGAGTCTCTCTTGCTCTCTTTTCCAGTTCAGCTCACTGAGCTCAAGGTCATTCCTTCACAAGTGGTTTTGCATTGTCACAATCCATTCTGATAAACATGCCCCTTTTAGAGAAAGTCACAGAAATTACTCAGGCCACGTACCTCTTTGCCCACTGACAATGAGGCCATTGCAGGGGCAGGTGTTCCTTGAGTCATTAGGTTGAAGTTTTAGGAAAAACCAGGCTTAGGGAGGTAGGAGAGAACAGAAATCCAAACAGCCATGCCAAAGGGGAAAGTTCAGCCAATTTAATTTCCTGCAGCTGGTCTAATTCTTTAGCTGCCACTTGCTGCCAAAAACATGGCTTTAAAATTTCTAATAGGTGTGAGCAGAGACAATCTGTATGGATCAGCAGAGTCTCCCACATTAGTGGCTAATGAAAAAATAAACAGATATTGACTTCTTTTGTAGAAAAACAAAATGTACTGACACAAGCAAAACAGAGAGATGGACAGGACATTAATGTTAATGTTTACATAGGGGTCTGGGAGAGGGGCTGCAGGTCTGTGGAGCCTAGAACACCATACTGTGTAAAAGTTGCCAGGATCTACTTGCAGCTGTTTCCTTCTAGATTTGGGGGTATCACAGTTCGTTCCCCTGAAGCTACACTGAGATCCCTAGGTGCCACCAATAAACTATATGGGGACAAGGGAGAGCCGCTCATTCCTGAGCTCCGTGCCAGGGCAGAGCCAACGTGGATAAAGATCTTGGAGCTATGTGAAAGCATCAGTCCTATTCTTAAATGTTATGATCCAGTGCAATTCCTTAACCCTTTGAGCCTCAGTTTTCTTATCTGTAAAATAGAGGTATTGATATTAATATGTATCTCATTGGGTTGGTAATAATAACCACTTACTGAATGCTGACCACATGCCAGGCTGGGACTCAGAGGAGTGACATAACTAGCCCAAGGTCAAGCTAGTAATGGTAAAGGTGAGACTGAAACCCACATATGTTTAACTTCAAAGTGTGTCTTCTGAACCACTGTGCTGTAATACATGTTACAGAGATCAAATAAGAGATAATTAATAAAAAGTGCTTAGTACCGTGTTTGGTACATAGTAATTGCTTGATATTTATCATTGCATTGTATCATCATCAACATCATCATTTTCCTTCTTGTCACCCCTGCCACCTTCCCTCTGTGTCATTATTTTTTTTAATATACCTTTATCAAGGTCTCCTGATGTTGCATAGTTAAATAGGTTAAGACTCTCTGACGGTCACAGACTTTGGAGGCAGAGTGACACATGTCTGAGTCCTGGCTCCACTCTTTACTATCTGGATGCTCACCACAAATCACTCCACCTCTCTATTCCTCAATTTTCTCTCAAATAAAATGGGGATAATGTTATGCCTGCCTCAGAGGGTTATTACGAAGACCGTATGAGGTAATACATGTAAAGTACATGCTGGGCATTCAACACATATGAGACAAAGAGACTATTTCTAAGAGATGTGAGCCTAGTTAATGTTAGTGAGGGTGATTCTGATGCACAAGGCCCTGGATGAGAGCTAGAAACCTGCTCCATCAGCAGTGTGACCTGGAGCAAGTCACGTGCCCCGCTTAGATGTCAAGTTTGCTTTGGCGGAAGGGAGCAGGCAGGTCCTGCTCTCCTTAACTCTCAGGCTCTGAAGACGGGTTGCCAGAGAATGGAACCGGCAAGCCATAATAGAATAGCCTTGAGAAATCAGTCTTGCTACACAGATGAGGAGTTTTATGATGATGGCTTTTGTCCAGGCTCTGGTCGGCATTAGCAAATTTCTTGATCTGGGGGAGAAAGCAATGTTGGGTGCAGACAAGGGGTGAATGGTCCACTTGGAGGCTGCTTCTGTGCTGGTAGGAGACCACTGCTGTGTGGCAGGCAAGATGATGGCTCCTTCCTGAATCCTGAAAATGCCTTTCTTGCTTGTCAGGATGCCATGCTGGTGGCTCTTAAGAGCCTCATGCCAGCCTGCCTCTTCAATGTCATCGGGTTTGGATCCACGTTTAAGACCCTCTTCCCTTCCAGTCAGACCTACAGTGAGGTAAGGAGGGGACATGGCTGGGACCAAGAGGTGTTGGGTGGTGAGGAGCGGACGGAAGAAAGGAAAAGGAAAGAGGAGGGAGCCCTGAGGTCTGCCCGTATAGAACCTGTCCACCCACATAGAACCTAAATGATGTTGGGAGCAGAGAACCAAAGGGAGGCGACCTCCATTTAGGCATTCTTCTGACCTTTCTCCTCCTTGAAATAAAGAACATTGGACAGGGGGGCAGCAGGCAAATTGTGTGTACAGCAAGCGGTACGGGGAAAGGGTAGGGAGAGGATATGCCTTAGATCTCCCACTCACTGAAGCCTCTGCCTCATGAGAGCAATAGACTCATGTAAGGACGAGTGAAAGGAGCGAATGGTAAGGAGCAGAGCAATGAATTAAGGGGTAGAGGAGTGCGTAGGTGAGTAAGTGGGTTAAGAGTGGTGCTCACATGGCTTAAGGTACAGTTTGGAAAGAGGACAGTGGCCCCAGCAGCATGTTCAAAACTGGAGCATCTTACCCTGGTCTAGGAATAGGAATAGAGGAAGGAAGGGAGGGAGGGAGGGAGGAAGGAAGGAGGGAGGGAGGGAGGGAGAAGGGAGGGGAGGAGGGAGGGAGG